GTGAAAATAACTAAATATATCAGTAATTTTATAGCAGGATATGTAGAGCTCATATAATATGCTGTATATAAAAGATGGACCTAGTTTCTAGATCTAATGGTGTATTTTTGCAAAACATAAATCAAGGTTTTCCCCTTGTGTGACTGCAGTCATTGCCCCTAATAGCCAACTGGACGAGAACTAGTACAATCAATACCTGGCATCAGGTTACAATGATTTATTTTCAGAACCTGAAAATTATGGCATGAAAGTAAGTTTTTAAAAAAACACTACGTAGAAATGTGATTTTTAATAATCTTTTTCAGGGAAAATGACCAAATATTAGTTTGCTGAACAACTTTAGCTTGAATTCTTCCAATTGTGAGTTTTTGTCTCATTTACAAGTTTCCACTTCAGTTGAAGTTAAACACGAGCATTTTGTAAATAATGGCCCCCATTAAAGTCAGAAACAACAGTAATGCAGAGTATGCTTTTGGATGATCACTGCCACATCTTGGTATCTGTGAGCTCCACCCCTCACCCAGTTTCAGAACACAGAGATGGTGATTTGTAGAAAAACAGCCAACTTGAGGCTTAAAAAACAGGACCATTAAATTATGGGACTTAATTCATCTTCTATAAACAGTCTCATACAAACCAGCTGTCTTCATAAGCATGTCCACCATGAAGTTTGACGTGTCATTCATTTGTTTGCAGGTAAAAGAAATCGTGTGACTCTTGGTGTCTCAGCTGACATCCGGGTCCCATCATATCCAGCGCTGCCTCCCGAGGCCTCATCACACAGTGCCTCTGTCCCAGCTATGAGCCCACATCCACAGGATCCGACAACGCAGAATCAAACCAGTTCAACAGACATGGACTCAGGCAGAGCTGAAGGTGTGGTGCAAAATATTCACGTAAGACTTTACTGGGGTCAGTCATCTGTGGTGACACTTTACAGTAGCAATCAAGATAATCCATTTATTAACTGGTTATTAGAAAGTTGAAAATTATGTTAAAAGTGCATAAGCAAGGAGGTGAGGTGGCAGCTCCCTTCTTATGCTTGTGCTTTTTCCTAAACCTGGCCGAAGTCAGGTTTAGGAAAAAGGCCTGGTCTGGGTTTGCTTAAGGGTGCCCAGCGAAATAAATCATCACTCCAATGAACAGGTGTTAGTATGTGAGGAGTTAAAGTGAGACTCCATGAGATAAGGTGCTACTCCTAATGAAAGATTGTTTTTCACCATTTTTAGAGTTTGCAGGTTCAGATTCATTCCACCCCCTTTTGGCAGAGGTCACCCAAAACGAAACAGCAGACCTCTCCATCACCTTTCACCAGCCTGAGCACAGCGTGCACAATTTTCCTGACGTGCATCCAGCCACCAGGGAATGCAGTGTTACCACACCTGTAGAGGTCATTTCGCACTCTGATCTTTCTTCTGTGGAGTCCGAGCCATCACCAGAGCGTCTTCGAACGGAGGAGCCAAACCGCAGCCCCGCAGTTTCCTCCACCTTACATGAATCCTTCTCCCAGCTCATTACCACCCAATGCCATCCCCAGGAGTCTGTTCTGATAGTATCTCCCACCGTGAGGGCAGATGTTGAGCAAACAGCTGAGATTCTGTCAAATTTATCCATGTGTGATGAGACACCTGCTTTGGGTGTGTCACGGGTAGAGGAAAGGCTTGGAGGCGCGGATTCAATCAGTGCCGAAGAGATCAAGTGTGGTCACGGTCCAAATCTGAGGAATGTTTCTCCTGTCTCTGATAAGATACTGGTATGAATCTGTGATTTGTTACTTTGGTCAACTTTGAAAAAGCACAGTTATTTTAGTAAAAACTGTTATTTCTGGTGTTTTAAGTTAGCTTTACCTATTTTTATAACTCGTTGTTTATTAGGAAGCAGCCAAAGAGAAGGGGATCCTGGAGCAGTCTGAGATCACACTGGTGAGCCTGACTGACTCTACACTGCAGGACCAGGAGTCCACCAGCTCAGAGGAAGAGGGAGCTTGGGTAATCAAGAATCCAGATGGAAGGGGTGAGGAAGGGCAGAAAGGCCAAGAGATGGAGGTGACTGTTCAGAAGTGACGTGACTGAGTTTTCATTCAGGCTACTTTCTCATCTCTAAACATTAACATTTACTTGCAGGGTGCAGAATCTACGTTGATACCTGAGGAGACTCCAGAGTACGACAGCCAAACACATCCAGGTAAAGCAAGTGGAATATATCTGCCTGAAATATAACAGAGTCAAACTGGTGAATTGTGGGAAAACCATAGGCCTGAACAACGAAGCAGGACTCTGAGCTCAGGGAGGTAACTTCAGGTTAAACTCTGAGTTTTAAATGTAAAGTCGTTCATGTCTTACTAGGGTACATCGCCATGGTAACTTATGCTGCAGGATAAGTGCTCCAGATCAGGTTATAATTGATATTACAGATCACGGACTACTGATCAAATATGTCACAGGATGATTCCTTCTGGAGGATCCCTCAGACCTCATTGTGCTGGTATTAAGGGGCTCTAAGATGGTCTACAGTTTTTGTTAATCATCAAAAAGCAATATACCGTAGTACTTTGAATCTCTTTGTAGTACAGACGTCAAGGGACTGATATACATATTTTCTCTCCTAACATTACATCATTTTTAAGCCAAAACTTTATAAACCTGACCGTTACTTCCTTCCCTCTTTCCAGTGACAGTCCTAGAGTTTCAGTGGGGTCCGTGCAGAGACCAGCCAGATGTCAACCAGCAGAAACTTGCAGCTCTGCTCCAGAGATCCAACCACAGGGTGAAGGAAATCAAGGCCAAAGCTGCTCTTGCTAAAACTCAACGTGAGCTCCAAGTGCTACCAGAAGGAAGTGAGCAAGCTAAAGCGAACACATGTCAACCAGTGACCTGTAACACAAAAACTAAACCAGAACCTCTACACAAGGCCAGTACAAAGTCAAAGGGAGAACAGGCCCCACAACAGATGGAGGAATCTGGTTTCATCAAGCAGCAGAAACCCCCCCAGCTTCTTCCACCAGGTACCACCAGAATAAAAATGAGAATTACTTCATCCTGCATTAGGGAAATTATTTTATTACAGTGGTTGCATGAAATCTGCCAGATGCTTCTGCCTGAGAGATAATTATATTATAGAGAGTGAGGGTATGTCATGTGAGATATTTCCTGTCCTTATGACAGTGGAGCTGAATCAGTCTGTTAGAGAAGGTGCTCCACTGCCTGTCCAGGAAGCCATGCAGGAGGTCTGGATCATCCACAAATGATAATAGTTCCAGATGTTTTTACTGGCTCATTTTAATCATTTCATACACTGCTGGATAGCTTAATCTTCAATGGTATGTCTTTTTATTATAGATGAGGCGCCTGGTTTGAGGCAGCACGCAGGTTTATACCAGCTTATGTAGTGCATATTAAAGAAGCCTCTATGTTTGAAAAATTTAATGTGGAAATGTGTTAAACCTGCATTCTTTAGAACCAAATAGCTTTGTCATTGCAAATAGAGCAATAATAAATAAAAAATACAAGTAAGCTATAAATAGCAGCATGAGTCAATTATCAGTGCAGACATTTATTGGTGCATGTAAGTGACACAGATGGTGTTTGGAAAGGACCGGTCTCTGAGCCTTGAGGTGTGGGTTTTGGTTGATCTCTATCCTCTGCTAGAGTGCAACAGTTCAGATGGTGAGAGCACTCCCTGATGATGTTTTGTGCTTGTTTGAGTATCCGCCAGGTAGGGCCATTTATATTTTTTGTTTTCTACTGTTCTCACCACTCCTCACAGTGCCTGTTTGTCTGCTACAGAACAGCCTGCATACCACACTGGTAAGCGGTGCATTACAACAGACTCAACTGTCGCACTGTAGAAAGAAATGAGCAGTTGTTCCTCCCAAATGTCCTCTGATGTGCCCACTTTATTATGGCAGGTTCTCTGGAAGGACTTTACTCTCCATCAGTGGGTCTGAGTCTGTTTTGCTTTCCCCCCATAGTCTTAGTGGTGCAAACTGAACACTGTGCTGATTGTCGCTCTACCTGTCTCCATATACGGACTCCTCTTCACTTGAGATTAGCCCAGAAACATCTGTGTCATCAACATAATGATGTTGGATAAATGAACAGGTCTGCAATCAGAGGTGTACAGTAGGTAAGGAAGGGACTCTGCAGATAACCCTGAGGAGCTCCAGTGTTCAGTGAAATGGATGAGAATGTGTGTGGGCCAAGTTTCAAGGTCTGAGTCCTTTATCTGGTGCAGAGAAAGCCCAGTGGATGAGTTTGCTGACTAAATGACTGGGATGATGGTAATTGATGGAAACAGTCACTAGCTAGAATTGGCTAATGTCCCCTAAATAATTTTTTTAATTTATTTTTTACTCACTTCACTGCTTGTATCGAGTCTGATTATGTTGTGATGGTGTGTAACGATGACATTTTGCTATTTTCTCTCAGTGAGTGATTCCGAACAGAAGAAGCTGGATGACATGAAGATCTGCACGCTGGAGCAAAGGAGACGTAATCTTTCCAAGATGCACCAGAGAACTCAAAGGTAGTCAAATAATATTTGGAGTTATTCAGGTAGTTTAAACAGAAGTGTAATTTACCAGATCAAAATAATTTTGTTCCGCAGGCTGTATGAGCAGCTGGAGGAGGTGAAGCATCGGAAAGCCTCGAAGAGTCGACAGGAAGATTATGCAAAAAACAGACTGAAAGCTAAGGAGTTCCACAAGGTGAAGCGCTTTAATCATACATAGGCTTCTTGGAGCTGCAGGAACTTCCTGAATTTAAGTTAAAAGAATGTTTTTCTCCCATCTCTTCACAGAAAACCTTACAGAAGCTTCGTGCCAAGCAGACCCAACAGTGATCGACTTTGATTGTGTCATAGTTTACTTTGAAAATTTTATTTATAGTTTTATCAATAAAGCATTTTAAGTTATTTGCACTCAAACTGAATCAGAAAATTTATCAGATAAAATTATGCAAAGTAAAAATATTTTGGCAAATAACAGTACTGAATATTTGAAATCACTTTCACACGAGTCTCTTTAATGAGGAAACATTCAGGAGATCGTTTACAGATGAACAAAATGTTTCTCCGCTCAGTCAGTTAAGATTTGCCTTAGTTAAATATTATCCATATCTGATATTAGAGCAGGAGAAATATGAACCTGAATGAATTATTAAACACATAATGACATTAACATACTGTCTAGTGTGGATACAGATATCAAGCTAGTAAATGTAATTTTGATTTATAAAATTGCTGTAAGAAAGGCCGGAGTGGAGGAGGAAAGAGGCACTTTCTGTATCTGAGCTTTGCCTCACTGGTGTTCAGAGTTTAGAGTATGTCTTAGTTTTGGGACTCTTCTTCTCGAGAGCTGCCTGAGCTGATTTCATCAGATCTTCAGTCTGAAGCATGCTCATGTTCCACGTGGCCTGGAGAAGGAGAAATTATGAATTTAAGTCAGTACTTTAAAAAGGGAACTTTATAAGTTCATATGCATTTAAGTGAGCATGCCACATCCCCTTTATGCTATCAAGTGTCATATAAAGGACACCAGGAAACTGAAATGGAGGGAATGAGGTAGCAATGCCAGATTCCTTCCGTAGAACTCTGAACACAAACCTTAAGAGTGACGTTGTGAAGCTGACAAAAATATGCACAGAAAACTTTGTCATATTATATTCATCCTTACAATGTAATCCAATCCATCTGCTACGCTGTGGTTTCTGGCATAGATGAGGTTTATTTTGGTGCCCTGCACAGCAACTGGGCTGCGACCAGCAATCTCTCCAGCAATCTCCAGAGCTCCAGCCATCATCGCCTCCTTATCTGCAAACACTCGGCTGAAGAAGAAGGGAAGGGTTTCAAACTGTTAGAATGAATAAGTGCTTTTAATTTGGAAAAAGAGTGATGAGGGAACATTGTTTACCTGACCAGTCCGCTGCTCTTAGCTTCATCAGCATACATCTTTCTCGCTGTCAGAGCCAGTTCATTAACAAGACTGTTGAAAATAGAAATAGATTTTTTTTTAACCTACAAGCATTCAGTCACTTAACAGTATCATGTCATAAATTTCTTTGAAACTTGTCCCAATTGTAAATCATGCTGCTGGCTCACCTTTGGCTGCCGATGACCTTCGGGAGTCTCTGGAGTGTTCCAACATCTGCTGCAAGTCCAATATCAACCTCCTATGGAGCCAAAGCAGAGGGCATCATCAATGCTACATTTAGCAAACAGAATCTCAAGATCTAGTGTGTAATCTCTGCTCAAAACCTTGCTGTAGGATATGACAGATCAAAGAGATCAAGATCTGTGAAATTGTTTAACACAAATCTTCATAAGTTGGTCTTAATTGAATCAGCTATCTATTCCATGCTTTCCCAATTGTCCTCACCACAGTGATAAAATCAGATGATTATACCTTAACTTGGAACCAGGCGTCCTGGGTGCACAGGCGAATGTCACAGGCTGTAATCATGTCAACACCTGCCAGAGAAAACACCACCTACGGTTAACTCACCGAAGCTCCTTTCTCCACCAAACTCAATGCGTCAAACACCTCCACAACCAAGAAGCCTGTATCACAGCCTGTGGGTTTCCCTGGCTCCTGCTAGCATCATGTCCATGCAGTAAACTAACCAGTTATATATCAAAGCTTGAAAACATAGTATTTTCAAATGTCTTGTTGTCTTCTAGGGTCAAGTCGAAAGCAGACAAGGGGAAGAGGGGCATATGTATAGTTTCAGCCACCGCCTTCAGAACACAGCAAATCTCCTTGGGGAGATATTTCAATTCAAATTCATCCATACCACAAACACGTTGGACTGGTCCAGCTGAATGACTCAATTAGGAATTTTAGGGGATTTGAAGCTTTTCACACAGTGGCTACAGCTTCTTATATCTGCACACTTCTCAAAGCATCATCCTCCTAACTTCAAGTGTTAAAATGCATAAAACAAAGGCTTAAAAAACAAACGAACATTCATTTATTTCTTCTTGGCTGTAAATGCGTTTATTTCTGCTGTAAAGTTGGACATTTTAACACGAGACTCTTTGGGAATTCACTCCCTTTTGCAGCCAGACTCAAGCAGACATTCGAGGAACTTTAGTGTTTTTCTAACTCCTGTACCTTAAGATGATTCACTACAGCACTGTAATCTTTACAATGTCCTACCTGCTCCTACACAGGCTCCATGGATGGCCACCACAACAGGCTTCGGGCACTGCGAGAACACAATTCAAGAGGAAACGTACTTTAATGATAGTGAGGGAGAATTTGTAAGGAAGGGAAGCTTGGTGCACGCTGGGTCCTACTGCTCTTACACTACAGACATTAACAGTGTGACAGTGTATCTTGTATTGAGTTCTTACTGTTGTTTCATGCAGGTCACACAGATGAGCAATGCCAATGGAAAAAAATATAATTTCATTACAAAAACTGGAATTTTAAAGACAAAATAACCATAAAATAAATCCTATGTTTGTAACTTCTAATCTGTCCTAAGGCTTTCTTTGGCTGAAGTAAGATTTCCACCATTCATCATTTATCCAATTCATAGCCAGGGTTGGTGGGGGGATTAAGTCTATCCCAGCTGACCCATGGTAAAAACTGATGACTGAATTTTAAAAGATAGCAATACAACAGTGGACATGAATGCAAAATGAGCTTTCATGAACCCTAATATTGTTAATATAACTTATCTTGATTTAGAGAGGCAACATCTGAGCAAGAAGCACAGTTCAGGAACCTTCCTGATAAAATCTGATAATTCAGTCACACCTCATGTTTGTGACTGGTTCAGTCTTCTCACTCTTTACATTAATAATGCGCTCTGACCTTCTCTATGACGGAGAAGGTCTCTTGGAATTTCCTAATCTTTTTTTTTAACCCCCAGGAGATTCTGGCTGTGTCGTCTCCTTCTGGTTGAAGTATATTGTTCATCATGTCCATGAGATCGATACCTGCGCATTAACACAGATGAGATTTTACACACTGATTATACTCCACTGAGAGAAGAGAACAGAGGTTTTAATATTCTGTATACCCACCAGCTGTGAAGAGCTTCCCTGCTCCAGAAACTACCACTGCTCTGCACTCGGGGTCCTCAGAGAGCTCATTAAAGCAGGTCACCATCTCACTGGCAGAGAAACACAAGTTCAGATCAGTGTTCACCCAAATAATAATTTAGCTTTTAATTCCAGTGATTAGTTTGACTTTTTGAGCTCTTTTATGTCTGATAATTTAACACTTTTAGAGTTCCATGTATTAGCATTATATTTTTTATTCACACTAAATGATGCAATATTGATTCTCAACGATTCACGAAATAGTAATAGTCTGAATATTGTGTTCACTTGTTTGTAGGGAATGACTGTATTTATTTAAACTCTTGTATGTGCTTCTCTCCTGATCAGAGGACTGAATACGTTTGGGAGCTAGCCTACTTGCTGGTCTGTGCTGTTACACAACGAGGGTTGCAGGATGAATGAAAACAAAAACAAACTTATACAAGTGCTTTTCCCCCCCTCACACACTATACTCCCAGCATAAGTAAGAGAAGCCAGCTGAGGTAAATACATGCTGGGTATGATGAACCTTCTCTTTATTTTCACCAAGATAAATAAGGAATATGGACAATATGGACTTTCTAACTGAATATAAACTGTGAGACAGGTTCCAGCATCCAGGTATAATATATAGCATTTGTCATGCCTCTGACACTGTGTAAAATATGTATATATGTAATTCTGATTCCTGCCTCCAGAAAGCACTGTTCATGGCATTGCGTTTCTCAGGCCGGTGAAGTTCAACATGCGTGATGGACTCTGTAGGACGACTGATGGCCAGGGTTGTGTACGGAGGGGTGGCACCACCTGAAGATGACATGGCTCTGGCCACAGTTTGACTAGGCAACCACAACCCCTTATCTAAGAAGAAAAAACAGAGCAACATTAGACTGTGGCCGAGAAGCAAGAGTCGTGAAAGCTACAAGGCTACAATGGACTATTCATAGGCCTTTTCTCATCTTTACCATTTTGTATCTTACTTACATTCAAGGCCTCAACTCACCTGTACACCTCAGTATTGGTTCAGTTTACAGTGTTCTCAAGCCAGTATTTTAGAGCACAGACACACACACCGAATAAACAACAAATAAACAAAACAAGGGTATGCACAACATTGTCATCAGTGCCACAATTCCACAACTGACTGAAGTTGGCATGGATGTCCAGCCTTGGATGTCAATGAGATGACCACTGGTGATCTGAGTCGACATAGTGACACCCTGTGACTGTTTCAGCACAACAATGTCTGCACAGTCCAGCCAAGCATTTAGTCCCAGTACACCTCGCTGTGAAAATGTCTGGGACATGCTAAGTCGATGTGTTCAACACAAGCAGCCACAGTGACCATTTCACAGCTGCAGGCTGCACTTGTCCAGGAATGGAGAGCAATCAGGGCACTTGATTAGTCCGTGTACAGACTTCAGAGGAGACCACAACTCATTATTTGTAGATATGGTAAATGGACTGGTTTTATATAGCACTTTTCTACTCTGAGCACTGATTTGAACATTCTTCTTCTTCTTCTATGTAAGTGCTTTCTTTGCACACATTCATACCTTGACAGACACATCAAAGATCAACCTGGGCTTAGTATCTTGCCCAAGAATATTTTGGTATATATTCTGAGTGTGTCCATCCCTGTATGACCACAGTGTACCCATCCATGTTGCATGTTTCCAGCGCCTTGCTGAATCTGTGACATGAAGAATTAAGGTAGTTCTGAAGGCAAAAGGGGTCCAACCTGCACAAGGAACCTAATAAAGTGGCTGGTGAGTGTAAATAAAGGAAAAAGTAAATATATGATAAACAAAATTAAAACAAATATCTAATGGAGTCATAAATCACCACAACTCTAATTTAATCACTAAAATAGTAATTTTGTTTAAGAAAGTGAGCAGTCCACCACTATTGATCCATGTTTTTCCACAGTTAGTCTTTTCCCCTCACTTCTAACTCCTCAAATGCAGCTTTTGTTTGAAGAAAAAAAAAGAAAAAGCATATTTATACGCAATTAAACTATATGCAGCTAAATGGACTACTCTCCACCGCTCATTCTTGCTGCTTGTCAGGTTGTGTTGAGTGGAAACACCCCTGTACTTTAATTGCAGGGTGGTGTCTGTCGGTATAAGACCACACAGGCTTCATTTCCCCATTCATACAAAATACAGATGAAGTTACTGGAAACAGAGGAATAAGTAGCCGGGAGGAGACAATTATAAATAAAATAAGAACAGGTCATTGCTTTTTGAATGGCACACTTTTTAAGATAGTTAAACATCTAACTGTAGTTGGTGTAATGCTATGGAAATGACAGAACAAAGAAGTATATCAATCAAAGAAGACTCTGCGTCGGTCTTCTAAACAGCCGTTCACTGACAAATAAGGGGCCTCTCATCCAAGAGCTCCTATCTGACTGTAAGTTTGACTTTTTCTGTTTAACTGAAACCTGGCAACAACCTGATGACTTTTCTCAACTGAATGAATCCACTCCTCTGGGGTTTGTTTACTTTTCGAAACCTTGCTGCTCAGATCGTGGGGTTGGTCCCGCGATCATTTTTCGCCAGCACTTGAAAGTCCTGCCAGTTAATTTTGATCGATTTAGTTCTCTAGAGTGACTTTTAAGTGAGCTGACTGGACCTATTCCCACCATCATAGCTACTGTATACCGCCCCCCCAAACCTAACCTCAGTGACTTTGCGAACCTACTAACCCACCTTTCATCTCTCTCCCCAAATGTTACTTTGATAGGAGATGTCAACATTCATATCGAAAATAATAACCTTCTGCTCACCAGAGACATTTCCTCCTGTCTCAAGGGCTTTGAATTCAAACAGTTTGTCAACTTTCCCACTCACTAAAAAGGACACACCTTGGACTTGGTCTGCTGTTCTGGTCTTACTCCCTCGAATCTTTCTGCTGCTGAAATCCCCATAACTGACCACTTCCTCCTTTCATTTAACCTCACTCTCTGTTGCGCTTCTACCAAGCCAACCCGCCTAATTTCGTTCTGCAACATCAAGAACATTGATATGGACATTCTCGTTACCAGATTGGACAATATTCCCAATCCTGTCTTCTATTCTACCCCCGATGATCTGTTGTTATATAATAATAATTGTTTACTCATTGTCCTTGATTCTCTGGCTCCTGTAAAAACTCACTGTTTCCTTCGCTCGCTCTGCTGCCTAGTTTACCTCTGACCTCCGAGTTTTGAAGGCCAAAGCTCGGCAGCTAGAGCGTAGTTATAAGAAATCTGCTTTAACTGTTGACGCAGAAATCTATAAATATCATGTACTCCAATATAAAGACTCCATCAATCAGGCCAAACAAAGCTTCTACTCTGGTATTATCACTTCTTGTGAGAGTAGCTCCAGGACTATGTTTTCACTTCTCAAAAAACTTCTTCAGCCCCCCAACGCTTTACCACCACACTTCTATTCTTCTGAAATCTGTAACTCCTTGATGCTGTTCTTCACTACAAAAATGAATAACATTAATCCGGCAACTCAGTTCAAATGCTGTGTCTACCCCCTCTCCAGAACCTTTTCTCCATTTTCAGCCCCTTTCCACCTTTGATCTTCCTGATTTATCTGATATTTCTGAGTTTATATGTAAATCAAAGCCCGCCACATGTCATCTCTAGGAGAGGGCGATGGTTTTACAAAATCCAAAGGAAAAATAGGAGAAATGAGAAGCAGAGGAAGGAACAGGAGAGAGGAGACGGTTATATCTCGACTTAGATTTGGACACACCGTTTTGAAAATCACATTGTTTTTGATAGGAAAACACTGTACAGGGGAGTGTGACTGCAACAGAGAACAGGAAACAACAGAACAAGTTTTATTGCATTGTTAGAAATATGATGCAGAGAGAAGACAATTAATCAAAAAGCTTGGCTACATGAAAGTGGACTTGGTTGATTTATTTCGTAAGAACTTGAGAAGTGAATGTTATCAGGCCATATTTTGGTTTTTTAAGGCAGACTAGTTTGCTTGGGAAGCTTTGAATGGATTTTTATTTTTGACATTTCGGTCCACACTCCACACCAGTAGGTGGCGGTAATGCAACATTTTGTTGTTTGTCAACCACCAATAAATAATCTGAAGAAGAAAAAGAATCAGAATAAGAGAAGCTTTCCCAATTTATTGCTCAATTTGTGAGTGAGGTATTAGACACTAATGTACTGTAACTGTACTTTTCAGGCTGTACAGTTACAGAGTGGCCGTGTATTTATTTTCTGCCGTTTTGGAGAGGGCGGCTGCCCTTCTACCGGCAGGGATTTAATTGCTGCCCACTGTAGCCTGTTCGGCGGGCAGTGTTGATCGTTTCGGCCCAGTCAAGCTGAGGGAAACGTCTGCAGCAGCCGCCGTTTGGCCCCGTCCTTTAAGGAACTGCTGTCTTGTACCGTCTACAGTTTTGTGACACTGTTTATATTTGGTTTGACCACGTAGCCAGACTCTGGGGATCCTTTACGTTTCTGGTGTTTGTTTACAGTGACATTTGTACCTGCACATTTGATTTGTACCATTCGTCAGAGAGAGCGTCATTCCTTTTTGGAGTGCGCTGGGATCAAATATCGTCTGTGTTTTTATTATGTTGGGAGTACATTTTGTAGTTTCACTGTGAGCAATGCGTCTGATGTTAAGTGCCCTATTACCTATGACTCTTTTTTTTTAATGCAGTGAATTGAGGATACTCAGTATCTGTGGGACCTTCGGTTGTGGGTCGTTTTCCACACTACTTTTGTTGTACGGCACCTGGGGTGTAGAGTTGGTTTGCACGTGTGATTTTCTTCTCTCATGGTCCTTAGCTACTGGCAAGTCCAGTTCAATGTATGGTGGTTTTATTTAATTTAGGATAGTATTACAGGATAGGACATGCCACAGTCAACTTTTATTGTGCTCTGTTCTTTTTTTTTAAAGTTTTTTTATTTTAACAAATGCAGTTAATAAAGGTATCTTAATATTAGGACCAGCCTGCCTCAGTCGTGTATTCTCGAAGCTGTGTAATGTTTTCTGGTTGGTTTTTGAAAAGACTCTTTATATTTCATAGGGGTGAAATTAAAGAACACAAAGTGAGCCCTGCACCTTACGAAACACTGAAGCTGCAGTGACGACCTTTCACCCACTTATCTTTATAAAAGGTTTTGTTTCCAATTTTTGACTCCAGAACTTCAACACACGGCTCCGCGCTAAAACAGCGACAAACATTCAAAACATGCAGTGTATTTTCACACGATTTGATACGTTTTACTACTACTTAACACAACATCTAAAGTAAAATAATAAAATATAAACAAATTATAGACACTTACATCTAGTGACAGCTGACCTGAAAACCATCGCTAACATCGCCTTTTGAACCCTGCAGAGTCCAGACTGTTTAGTGAACACGGTCAAGTGAACCGTCATTTGTGATCTGCAGTGAAGCCAGCCGCCTCTTATCTGACGCATAAGTTTTCTTTCGCTTCTACACTAGGCTTTACGGCAGCGCCAGTGCTAACTTAGCTAGGGAATGTTCGAATTGTTTATAGTTCACATAGTGACGTCACGGGTTCATTTAATGAGCTGTGCGTTAACATTTGTTAAGTAAAGCCACGCTGTATGTCTGCTGTTTGTGCGAAGGATAACCGGTGAACTACCGATTAACTCACGTAAGATCCCTGCTGATAACTACTTAGCTTTAGCAAAGCTAACTGGCTAATGTCCAGAGGGCCAGATGAAGTGAATGATTGTTTCTGTATGCAGCCTCGCTAAACGGTCTGGACTCTGCACCGTTCAAAGGGCGATGTTGGCAGTGGTTTTCAGGTCAGCTGTCACCAAATGTAAGTGTCGGTGATTTGTTTGTATTTTTTTATTATTATTTTAACTTTGTTGTTAATTAGTAGGGAAACCCATCAAAGCGTGTGAAAATACACCGGATGTTCTGAATGTTTGTCGCTGTTTTAGCTCGGAGCCGTGTGTCGATGCACAAAACCTTTTATAGGGATAAGTGGGTGAAAGCTCGTCAGTGCAGCTTCAGTGGTTTGTAAGATCGCGGTCAAGTGACGGTCAAGCAGTCATTTGTGAGCCGCGGTGAAGCAGCCACCTCTTTTCCGCCGCCTAAATTTTCTTGCACTTTTGCACTAGGCTTTACTGCAGTAGTGATGGGTCGGTCGCGAACGAAATGGCTCTTAGAGCCGATTCTTTGACGTGAACGACGCGAGCCGGTGCCTTATCGCGAGTCATGGGGTTTTTTTTTTCTTTCTCTCACCCTCTCTCTCTCTCGCACTTTTTTTTCCCCGCTTCACTCAGCATGCGAGCCTTGTGCTTTACGCTGGGCAGAGGAGGGAGGGGCGGTAGTTACATTCAGTAGCACAGGAACAGAGCGGGAGGGAGAGACAGAGAAAAAGCCAGGGACAACAACCTCACATTAGAAAGGAATAGTAATCATCCACAACTATTTTCAGTTGCAGATGATAAAGGATTCAGAAAGTTAGTCATGCAAGCCCATATGACAGAGAATATGCATGTATTTTTTGTTTTCATATTATAATTTATATTTAATTGTGTTGTGGTTTGCAGTGTTTTGTGTTGTTTCACTTTAAATGTGTAAAAGGAAAAAGCTGAAAATTTAAATAGTTAAAAGTTGAAATGTGAATAGTTGATTTTTGTATTATATGATTTATTTATTACATTTTATGTGGAGTGAATAAATAAAAGTATATTTACGGTGGCCCCTACAGACAAAGCACATACAAACTTCAAATCATGTACGAACTCCGAAGCACGTAAAAACTCCAAAACACGTAAAAACACGTAAAAACTCAGAAGCACATAAAAACTCAAAACACGTATAAAATACAACCGAAGTGCTCCAGGATGCTAGGGGCAGTGTTGAGCTTTTGTTACCTAGTGGCTACACAAGCCAGCAAGTACCAATGACCGGATTTGGTGTGTGGTAGTAACAGGTAAATGAACTTTTTTTTTTTTTTTTTTTTTTTTTAATTTATTTGACTATATATGAATGCTTGTGTATAAATACACAAACAATACACATATGCTTTCATGCTTTCAATTGTGTAATTTAAGTGATCTGGGTAGCTCTGTTTTGGAAGTTCAGTTCATGCTAGATTTGTGTTTTGGAGTTTGTACGTGTTTTGTCTCTAGAGGCCACCGCATATATTTCTATATAAATAAAACCACTTTTTTTTTTACATTGGTAATTCCTTTTGTGCATAATTTTATATTATTGTTAATAATAAATTAATTGAAGCAACAAAACAACCTGAAGAGCCGGTTTGGAACCGAAAGAGCCGGTTCTCTAAAAAGAGCCGGAAATCCCATCACTATACTGCAGCGCCCTTTCACCTTCATTGCTAATCGCAAACTCGCGCACACATACGAACAGATTTCATTTAGACAGTCTGATTGCATCATATTCAAAAATTCATTAAAAATCATCCTTGAAAGTTCACGTGAAACTTTCGACGCATTCTTTCTCTCGTCCAACGACTCAAACTACGCCTGGAAGTTTCATCTCTATCGTCTGCATATTCCACAAAAATGAAGGGAGGGAATTATGCTCTAGTTCAACACAATTACTCAAATATTGCATCATCTTTCCATCTGAGCATAACTGTTCTTTGCGATCAGCAATGAAGGAGAATAAGCGCTGCCGTAAAGTCCAGAGTAGAAGCGCAAGAAAATGTGTACTTTATACAGGTTATAGTAGTGATTTTAATTTGTCATAAATGTTGATTTTCTGCTCCATGTATTTTATATAGTTTAATAGTGTATAAATATGTTTTTTCTTTTTTCTTCAAACAATATCTGCATTTGAGTAGCTAGAAGTGAGAAAAGGGAGTTGACTGTGGAAAAACATGAATAAATAGTGGTGGACTGATCACTTGCTTAAACGAAATTACTATTTTAGCGGTTAAATTGACAGAGTTGCGGTGATTAATGACCCCATTATATATTTGTTTTAATTTTGTTAATCATATCTTGACTTTTTTCTTTATTTATACTCACCAGCTACTTTATTAGGTTCCTAGTGTAGGTTGGACTCCTTTTTACCTTCAGAACTACCTTAATTCTTCATGTCACAGATTCACCAAGGTACTGGAAACATGTGACATGACTTGTTATCCTGCTGTACACAGCCATCACAGGATGGGTACACTGTGGTGATAAAGGGATGGACATGGTCAGCAACAACACTCAGATAGACGTAGTATTCAGAAGATGCTTAGTGAAACCACTGCTGCGAGGCAACATGTTCTTTGCACCAAGATCAGAATCGAGACTCAGGCCAGACAATATTTATTTTTTCTTCTATTGTCCAGTTGTTATAGGTCTGTGCTAGTTGTATCCTCTTCCTTTCAATAACTATTGCAATTACTGTAAAACTGTACCACTTTATTGTAAAACTGAACCAATACTGAGGTGTACAGGTGAGTTGAGGCCTTGAATGTAAGTAAGATACAAAATGGTAAAGATGAGAAAAGGCCTATGAATAGTCCATTGTAGCCTTGTAGCTTTCACGACTCTTGCTTCTCGGCCACAGTCTAATGTTGCTCTGTTTTTTCTTCTTAGATAAGGGGTTGTGGTTGCCTAGTCAAACTGTGGCCAGAGCCATGTCATCTTCAGGTGGTGCCACCCCTCCGTACACAACCCTGGCCATCAGTCGTCCTACAGAGTCCATCACGCATGTTGAACTTCACCGGCCTGAGAAACGCAATGCCATGAACAGTGCTTTCTGGAGGCAGGAATCAGAATTACATATATACATATTTTACACAGTGTCAGAGGCATGACAAATGCTATATATTATACCTGGATGCTGGAACCTGTCTCACAGTTTATATTCAGTTAGAAAGTCCATATTGTCCATATTCCTTATTTATCTTGGTGAAAATAAAGAGAAGGTTCATCATACCCAGCATGTATTTACCTCAGCTGGCTTCTCTTACTTATGCTGGGAGTATAGTGTGTGAGGGGGGGAAAAGCACTTGTATAAGTTTGTTTTTGTTTTCATTCATCCTGCAACCCTCGTTGTGTAACAGCACAGACCAGCAAGTAGGCTAGCTCCCAAACGTATTCAGTCCTCTGATCAGGAGAGAAGCACATACAAGAGTTTAAATAAATACAGTCATTCCCTACAAACAAGTGAACACAATATTCAGACTATTACTATTTCGTGAATCGTTGAGAATCAATATTGCATCATTTAGTGTGAATAAAAAATATAATGCTAATACATGGAACTCTAAAAGTGTTAAATTATCAGACATAAAAGAGCTCAAAAAGTCAAACTAATCACTGGAATTAAAAGCTAAATTATTATTTGGGTGAACACTGATCTGAACTTGTGTTTCTCTGCCAGTGAGATGGTGACCTGCTTTAATGAGCTCTCTGAGGACCCCGAGTGCAGAGCAGTGGTAGTTTCTGGAGCAGGGAAGCTCTTCACAGCTGGTGGGTATACAGAATATTAAAACCTCTGTTCTCTTCTCTCAGTGGAGTATAATCAGTGTGTAAAATCTCATCTGTGTTAATGCGCAGGTATCGATCTCATGGACATGATGAACAATGTACTTCAACCAGAAGGAGACGACACAGCCAGAATCTCCTGGGGGTTAAAAAAAAAGATTAGGAAATTCCAAGAGACCTTCTCCGTCATAGAGAAGGTCAGAGCGCATTATTAATGTAAAGAGTGAGAAGACTGAACCAGTCACAAACATGAGGTGTGACTGAATTATCAGATTTTATCAGGAAGGTTCCTGAACTGTGCTTCTTGCTCAGATGTTGCCTCTCTAAATCAAGATAAGTTATATTAACAATATTAGGGTTCATGAAAGCTCATTTTGCATTCATGTCCACTGTTGTATTGCTATCTTTTAAAATTCAGTCATCAGTTTTTACCATGGGTCAGCTGGGATAGACTTAATCCCCCCACCAACCCTGGCTATGAATTGGATAAATGATGAATGGTGGAAATCTTACTTCAGCCAAAGAAAGCCTTAGGACAGATTAGAAGTTACAAACATAGGATTTATTTTATGGTTATTTTGTCTTTAAAATTCCAGTTTTTGTAATGAAATTATATTTTTTTCCATTGGCATTGCTCATCTGTGTGACCTGCATGAAACAACAGTAAGAACTCAATACAAGATACACTGTCACACTGTTAATGTCTGTAGTGTAAGAGCAGTAGGACCCAGCGTGCACCAAGCTTCCCTTCCTTACAAATTCTCCCTCACTATCATTAAAGTACGTTTCCTCTTGAATTGTGTTCTCGCAGTGCCCGAAGCCTGTTGTGGTGGCCATCCATGGAGCCTGTGTAGGAGCAGGTAGGACATTGTAAAGATTACAGTGCTGTAGTGAATCATCTTAAGGTACAGGAGTTAGAAAAACACTAAAGTTCCTCGAATGTCTGCTTGAGTCTGGCTGCAAAAGGGAGTGAATTCCCAAAGAGTCTCGTGTTAAAATGTCCAACTTTACAGCAGAAATAAACGCATTTACAGCCAAGAAGAAATAAATGAATGTTCGTTTGTTTTTTAAGCCTTTGTTTTATGCATTTTAACACTTGAAGTTAGGAGGATGATGCTTTGAGAAGTGTGCAGATATAAGAAGCTGTAGCCACTGTGTGAAAAGCTTCAAATCCCCTAAAATTCCTAATTGAGTCATTCAGCTGGACCAGTCCAACGTGTTTGTGGTATGGATGAATTTGAATTGAAATATCTCCCCAAGGAGATTTGCTGTGTTCTGAAGGCGGTGGCTGAAACTATACATATGCCCCTCTTCCCCTTGTCTGCTTTCGACTTGACCCTAGAAGACAACAAGACATTTGAAAATACTATGTTTTCAAGCTTTGATATATAACTGGTTAGTTTACTGCATGGACATGATGCTAGCAGGAGCCAGGGAAACCCACAGGCTGTGATACAGGCTTCTTGGTTGTGGAGGTGTTTGACGCATTGAGTTTGGTGGAGAAAGGAGCTTCGGTGAGTTAACCGTAGGTGGTGTTTTCTCTGGCAGGTGTTGACATGATTACAGCCTGTGACATTCGCCTGTGCACCCAGGACGCCTGGTTCCAAGTTAAGGTATAATCATCTGATTTTATCACTGTGGTGAGGACAATTGGGAAAGCATGGAATAGATAGCTGATTCAATTAAGACCAACTTATGAAGATTTGTGTTAAACAATTTCACAGATCTTGATCTCTTTGATCTGTCATATCCTACAGCAAGGTTTTGAGCAGAGATTACACACTAGATCTTGAGATTCTGTTTGCTAAATGTAGCATTGATGATGCCCTCTGCTTTGGCTCCATAGGAGGTTGATATTGGACTTGCAGCAGATGTTGGAACACTCCAGAGACTCCCGAAGGTCATCGGCAGCCAAAGGTGAGCCAGCAGCATGATTTACAATTGGGACAAGTTTCAAAGAAATTTATGACATGATACTGTTAAGTGACTGAATGCTTGTAGGTTAAAAAAAAATCTATTTCTATTTTCAACAGTCTTGTTAATGAACTGGCTCTGACAGCGAGAAAGATGTATGCTGATGAAGCTAAGAGCAGCGGACTGGTCAGGTAAACAATGTTCCCTCATCACTCTTTTTCCAAATTAAAAGCACTTATTCATTCTAACAGTTTGAAACCCTTCCCTTCTTCTTCAGCCGAGTGTTTGCAGATAAGGAGGCGATGATGGCTGGAGCTCTGGAGATTGCTGGAGAGATTGCTGGTCGCAGCCCAGTTGCTGTGCAGGGCACCAAAATAAACCTCATCTATGCCAGAAACCACAGCGTAGCAGATGGATTGGATTACATTGTAAGGATGAATATAATATGACAAAGTTTTCTGTGCATATTTTTGTCAGCTTCACAACGTCACTCTTAAGGTTTGTGTTCAGAGTTCTACGGAAGGAATCTGGCATTGCTACCTCATTCCCTCCATTTCAGTTTCCTGGTGTCCTTTATATGACACTTGATAGCATAAAGGGGATGTGGCATGCTCACTTAAATGCATATGAACTTATAAAGTTCCCTTTTTAAAGTACTGACTTAAATTCATAATTTCTCCTTCTCCAGGCCACGTGGAACATGAGCATGCTTCAGACTGAAGATCTGATGAAATCAGCTCAGGCAGCTCTCGAGAAGAAGAGTCCCAAAACTAAGACATACTCTAAACTCTGAACACCAGTGAGGCAAAGCTCAGATACAGAAAGTGCCTCTTTCCTCCTCCACTCCGGCCTTTCTTACAGCAATTTTATAAATCAAAATTACATTTACTAGCTTGATATCTGTATCCACACTAGACAGTATGTTAATGTCATTATGTGTTTAATAATTCATTCAGGTTCATATTTCTCCTGCTCTAATATTTAACTAAGGCAAATCTTAACTGACTGAGCGGAGAAACATTTTGTTCATCTGTAAACGATCTCCTGAATGTTTCCTCATTAAAGACACTTGTGTGAAAGTGATTTTAAATTTCCAGTCTTGGTAGAATAAAGAGGGCACATCAGAGGAGATTTAGGAGGAACAACTGCTCAGCTCTTTCTAACGTGCTGCAGTTGAGTCTGTTGTAATGCACTGCTTACCAGTGTGGTATCAAGGCTGTTCTGTAGCACAGCGGTCTCCAACCTTTTTTGTGCCACGGACAATATTTTCACGGACCTGCCTTTAAAGTGTCGCAGATAAATACAACAAAATAAAACTAGTACCGGTACCGAAAAAAATACGATTTATTCATAACACACGTGAAAAGACCCAGGAAAACAGAGTTAACGATCAAAACGATAACAAAATAACGCTGAAAACCGATTAAAAACCCTGAAAACCATACATTTCACACCTGAGGCTCAACTCTCCTGGCCCAGTACCAAACGACTCACGGACCGGTACCGGTCCGAGGCCCGGGGGTTGGGGACCGCTGCTGTAACAGACAAACAGGCACTGCGAGGAGTGGTGAGAACAGCAGAAAAGAAAAACATGGCAAAACGAAAACTGGAGGATACTCAAGCAAGCACAAAACATAATCAGTGATGGTGTCACAATAGAATCTTACAAGAAAGAATCAAAAATTGTATTCCATTGTGCTTTATTAGCTCCGGTGAAAAACAAGTTAACAATGCAACATATGCGGGACTTTTCGTGGCTGTTTTGATATCGCTCTCTCTCTTTTAACCAATCAAATCTCGCTGTGGTAGAAGCTTTAAACTCGGTATGACCCAGGTTGATAGAGGGTGCCCAGTCTGGATCGCATTCCAGCATTTTATAGGCTGGTTTTCCTACAAAACACAACAAATATTAGCCTGCAAAGCCACAGTGAACAAAGCAGCATAGCGCAACGAATTCAATTCAAATCAATATAACACTTATTTGTAACCTACATCAACAATTATGTTATGATAAATTATGTAATAACTACAACAGAAGACTTACCTTTGTGGAAATGCTTGGAGCAGACTAACATGTGAGCTGGAGTGTTCTGGGACTTTATATTTGGTCTTCGAATGGCTGCAATCCAGGCCATTCGCCGGCTCTTTGTTACTTCGGAAACATGGCTTGAACAATTTCTCTTCCACGACGTAATCCGATAAAAATCGATATTTTTACCCGTTGGCTTCCCTCTCTCAAGAGGGGTGCCGTTTGTAAAGTGAAAACATGCTGAAATTAACGGCAACATTTTTCCACATTTAGCTCAGAACCTTACAAAAACATGTTTTTTGGAGTCATTTTTTACAGCATTTAGTAAAATATTTTTACGCAATTTTAAATATTAAATCGAAATGTTAAATTTAAATATTATATTTAAATCTAAATGTTAAATCTAAATGTTACAGGACAAATTTATTGTAGGGATCAACGGAAATACCAAAATAAAAGCTTCACGAAAACCTCCGGTGCAAAAGTGTGCCAGTAGTGGTCAGATTGTGTCTGCTCTACCCTGATGGTCACTTCTCAACGCCATAAGCGGCTTCACTTCTTGCCTAACAGCACGTCCAGCGATTTAGCTGAAAACATCGGAAGATCCGTTTTGTAGGCCATCCAAAGGTTCAGGAGTAGTGGACTCTCAGCAGCTGCAGTCTCCACTTCACAATCGCTGCAGCACATGTCCAGCTAAATAGCTGGACATGCTCGTTTACCATTTAGATTTAATGTTTAATATTTAGATTTAACATTTAAAATTGTGTTTTAAATATGTAAAGTTACAAATATTTTACTAAATGTTGTGAAAAAATGACTCGAAAAAACATGTTTTTGTAAGGTTTTGAGGAAAAAACTTGCCGTTAATTTCAGTATGGTTCACTTTACAAACGGCGCCCCATATTGTTCCCCCTCCATGCATCGCTACCTTATCGAGATGAAGGGGTTGGTGTGTCCCAGGCAGTGGCGGTCCTAGCCTGTTTGGCGCCCTGGGCGAGCACTCCCTCTGGCGCCCCCCCCCTCACACACACACACAGACAAAACATATTAAGGATTGTACATTAACATAAAGCTGTTGTACACACACACATATATGAAGAGAGAGAGTATGCACAGTATGCGAACGGCTACCAAACAGCCATCATAATACGTCATACAATGAGAACAGAAACAAATCAACAATTGACAATGACTATGATGCAGAGATTTTTAAAAATGACTGTATTTGATACTACAGAATGTATTTTGGGACTTTGTTTTTTTTCTGCTCTCCAGGCAGTTTAGTGTCAGTGTTGACCACGCTTGCAGTGAAACATTCAAAAGGGACAAAGTATTTAAAGGGAGACGCGACAGAACTTCACGGCCTGCTTGACTACCTGCGATGTCATGATAAAAGACTTACAAGCCCAGAATTCACAGGCAAGTAGCATGGAAGCTGTTGTCTTATTTATGACTGACTATGTCCTAATGTTCTCTGTGAACATACTTGTCTGCAGGGAGTCCTCAGAAATACCTGGTGTGCAGTGAAAGACCCTGTTAGTTGCTGAAGTAAAAAGCAAAACAAACTGAGAACATATAATGAGGTGATTTGGTTGTGTGTGTGTGTGATCATTTTCGCTCTCAGATGAAACTAATGGGAAAACGGCACTACTGAAGGCTTTGCTGAACCTGAAAGGTGGAAATAACAACACAATTGAAGTTATCCTTGACATAGCAGAGAAAACTGGAGATTTAGAAAATTTGATCAATGCATCGTATACAGATCCTTACTACAAAGGTAGGGTGAAGGAAAACTGCCAATCTTAAAATAGACCTATCGATGTTTCTGTGTTGTACTGGCAAGCCTTTCAAGATAAATTATGGATCCTACAAAATTGTGATGACTAACCTCAGCTTGTTTCTTATAACAAAAGTCCTACGTGTAACAGGTCAGACAGCCTTGCATGTTGCCATTGAGAGGCGGAGCTTTGAGCATGTGAAGCTGCTAGTCCAGAAAGGAGCTGATGTGCAAGCCAAAGCAAATGGAAAGTTTTTCCAGCGTCATGCTGAAATGGGCTTTTATTCTGGTGGGTAATGTCATATTGGTGTTAACAAGCTACACTTTCTGTCTCAGTTGTTTATGGCTGAGTGTTATCTCTAAGCTCATCTGTTTGTGTTTCCATTAGGGGAGCTCCCTCTGTCATTGGCTGCCTGCACCAACCAGCCTGATATTGTGTCCTTTCTCATGGAAAACCCTTACAGAAGAGCTGACGTGACTGACAGAGACTCACAAGGAAACACTGTTTTGCACACCTTGGTGGTCATAGCAGACAACACGAAAGAAAACACAGATATGATTGCAAAGATGTATGATGAAATACTTGTTCAACAGAACAAGCTTGACAAAAAAGTCCAGTTTGTAGAGATTGAAAATAATGATGGCATGACTCCTCTAAAACTGGCAGCAAAGCTCGGTAAGATAGAGGTACAGTGGGGCAAAAAAGTATTTAGTCAGCCACCGATTGTGCAAGTTCCCCCACCTAAAATGATGACAGAGGTCAGTAATTTGCACCAGAGGTACACTTCAACTGTGAGAGACAGAATGTGAAAAAAAAAATCCATGAATCCACATGGTAGGATTTAAAGAATTTATTCGTAAATTAGGGTGGAAAATAAGTATTTGGTCACCTCAAACAAGGATTTGATTTATTTCTAAAAGACAAAGTGCAGCAGCAAAATCAGTGTCACACAGCAACAGCAGGCCTCTCCTCATCCCAGTGTGGAGTCCATGCAGCTCTGCTTACAATATATAAAAGAAAATACAATCTATCAAAACAACGATTCTCCCAACAGCCACTTTAAAGTTAAATGTTATAGTGGGGTAAAACAGAGACAAATATGAAGCCACTAATAATAACTTGTAATATTTAAATCCCCACTAAGATGGATCAATTACACAATACATATTCAAACAACTTTAACTTTTCTCAACATGGCTGGAAATACTATGCAGTGTGCAGCCTCAGGTGATGAACTCATTATACACATAAAACATAACCTATACATTTACACATACCTAAAAGACAAAGTGCAGCAGCAAAATCAGTGTCACACAGCAACAGCAGGCCTCTCCTCATCCCTGTTTAGCACAAGTAAGGACCACATAAACGGATGGTTTAACGGATAAAACGCAGTTCCAATTACTATTTTTCTCGTTCAAAGCAATCAAAAACACTTTGGGAGCTTTTAGCCAGAAGAACTAATACTTAGCAAAGAAAAATACACCAAATTTAAATGTATAATTTAGTACAGGGAGAGGAGCTACAGAAAGTGTGCCTCACCAGTGTGGAGTCCATACAGCTCTGGCTGGGAAACCCCACACACGCAACATGTTTACAAGTGGCGTCACACTGATTAATGCACCACTTCAACAGTGACATGTGGAACCTTAGTTTTACATAAATTAAATTTACACAATAAAAAATAAACTACAGTATATACAATACAGTTTTGAGAATGTTCACACTCAGTATATTATATCTCAGCTACACGCGCAGTTCCAGGGAGCTCCGCAGGCCTCTGAGGTACTGTAGGTGGGCGGAGATTTGAAGCAGCTCCCTCCCTGTGAGCCAAGTGAAAGAGCGCACCGTCACAAGCGAGAAGTGTCCCGAGAAGGCGGCTCAGCCAGGAACCTGCGGGAGGCCATCGCTTCTCGGCCTTTTGGCTAAGATCAAGTGTAGTATCTGTTCTTATCAGTTACAAGGCGAGAAGCAATGCAGGATGGCGGCGGCGTCGGCCAATTTTCATGAGAGAAATACATGGATGCAAGGTACAAGAAATACTTTGAGATTCGAGTTGATGGAGAAAGAGGACGAGATTCATGACAGAATTAACTTCGGACGAAGGATCCTTTACGAGGCTTTAAAGATAAAGCCTGAGGAAATCTACTGCCTCCAGCAGAGTACGGCAAGTAAACATTATGATGTAACCTTTTGCACGGGAGAATGTGCGGAGGAGGTGAGAAGGAGATTTCACGGAGAAGAAAACGAAGAACTAAAGAAATATACGGTAACTCCTTTGTACAGAAATGATTATAGGATTTTAACGATCCATATGTATAACCCTTGGGGTTCGGAAGAGACAATTAAGTACTTCTTAGGAAGGTACGTCACAGTACTACCAGGAGTGCGCAAAATAAAGGATGGCTTAGGACTATGGACCGGAAAAAGACAATTCCGAGTCAAATTAAATGTGGATACGTCTACCGAGGACGGATATTGCCATCCACCCGCGGTATTCTCCATAGGAGCAGATAGGGGTTTCCTAGTGTATGCTGGGCAGCCCCAAGCGTGCAGAAAATGTGGCAGTACCGGACATAATGCGGACAGGTGTGAACAAATGAGGTGCAGGAGTTGCGGGAAGATAGGCCACATAACTAAAGACTGTAAGGAACCTAGAAAATGTCATTTGTGCGATTCAGAGACCCATAGGGCAAGAGATTGTACTAGGCCAAGGTCATATTCTGAAGCGGCAGGAAATGAACATTACAGAAAATCGGATGCAGAAGCTGATATCAGAAAAAGAACACAGGAGGCGTCAACGGCTGCCGAAGATCACCTTAACGAGGAGAGAGCTGGGAGCAAGGAAGGTGGAGTAGAGCAGAGGAATAAGGAGGAAGGAACATTACGTGAATCGGACGCCGAGAGAGAGAAACAAGCGGAGGACGGACAGGTGTGGGCAGTAGTAGCGAAGCCGCGGAGAAAATCAGCAAAGAGGCGGAGAAAGGTGAGCTCAGGTGCTTCTCCAGAAGAGACAAAAACGGAAAATAAAGAGGATAGGGAGGAACGGATCGAGCAGGTGGAAAATACGGAGGGACATGTTTTGAGGGGTACACAGACTGAATGCATGCATACCCCCTTAAGTGACTTCACTAGTGATGGGGATACGGGGGAAGAGGCTGAAAGCGAAGAAAAATCGGAAGATTCCTTTATTAAGAACTTATTGGCGCAGGTTAATATGAAGAGTTAAAAATGGGGATACTGAAATAAAACTTCTATGGTTTTGATTTGTTTTTGGTTTTGTTTTTGAGATCCCCTTTTTTTTTTGTTTTCCTTTTTTTTTGATTTATGTGTTAAGACATGGGAAACTTTCGAATAATAACATTAAATGTAAGGGGACTTAGGAATGCTCGGAAAAGAAAAATGGTTTATGAATTTTTGTTGTATTATAATTTTGATGTCTGCTTGTTGCAGGAAGTACATTTAAAAGATGAGGGGGATGTTGACCTCTTTACGAAGGAATGGAGAGGAGGTGAATCGGTCTGGAGTATAGGGGGAGTACATGGGACTGGGGTAGGAGTGTTATGTGGGAATAAAAGTATACGAATAAAGGACAGTTATACTTTAATACAGGGAAGGGTTATGGTTGTAGATGTGGAAAAAAGTGGGACACAAAACCGTATAATAAATGTGTATGCATATGTGGATCCCAAATTAAGAAGAGAACTTCTTTCAAAAATGGACACTTGTTTTATGACAAAGAAAAATATTTTTGTGGGAGGGGATTTCAACTGTTCACTGGAGAAAATAAAAACTTCGCTCCCCTTTAAGACCTTTATAAAAAAATACGGTTTAATAGATGTAATGGCCACACTACAAGGGAAAAGAGTGGGGTACACATGGAAGAACACAAGAGGGATGGAAAGTAGATTAGATTACATCTTGATAGAGAAAAAGTGTAAAATAAAACAAGGGAAAATAATACCGGCTTTGTTCACAGATCATCAAATGATAGTGGTGGATTTGGAGATAGAAGGAATAGATTATGGAAAAGGATACTGGAAACTGAATAACGAAGTACTTATGGAAAAAGAATATAAGGAAAGGTTTGCAGAGCTCTTCCCTTTATGGGAGGAGATGGAAAGCTTATATATAAATAAACTGGATTGGTGGGAGGATGTAAAAAACAAAATAAAAAAGTTCACGGTGGATTATTGTACGGAAAGGTCCAGCGTAAGGAAAGAGGAATTTCGTATATTGCAAAAAGAAATAGAATATACTTATACACTACAAAATGAAAAAGGAAACAACAAAAACATGGACGAGAAAATGGAAAGTTTAAGATTGAAGCAGGAAGAACTACTTGAAAGGAAGGCAAGGGCTGAAACATATAAGATAAAGCAGGAGGAGTATGAGGAGAACGAGAAATGTTCGGCCTTTTTCTTTAAAAAGATGAAAAGTAAGGAAAAAAAGGGAGTTATAATAAAATTAGAGAAGGATGGGAAAATGATAGAAGGGAAGGAAAATATGCTTAAAACGGCGAAGGAGTATTATGAGGCCTTGTTTAGAAAAGAAAAATTAGAGGGAGAAAAAGGGGATTTTTCTTAAAGAAAATAAAAAAGAGATTAACGGGAGAAGAAAGCGACAGTTTAGAAGGGGAAGTTACAATAGGGGAGGCATATAAAGTATTAAAAGGAATGAAGGCAAACAAAGTGCCAGGGATAGATGGATTAACAAAGGAATTTTACGAAACTTTTTGGGGAATGGTGGGGAAACATTTGTTGGGAGTTTTTAAGGAAATCATGGAGGGAAAGGAGATGACAGAGAGTATGAAGATGGGTGTGGTTTCTATTCTATTCAAGAAAGGTAACCCACAACAACTTGATAATTATAGACCGTTAACTATGCTATGTGTGGATTATAAGATCCTGAGTAGGATATTGGCAAATAGACTCGCGGGAGTAATGATGCAAATAGTGGAGAAGGATCAGACGTGTGGGGTCAGGGGGAGGCAAATGTCTTGGAACGTGCAACTACACAGAGACATACTCACATACGTTAGAGATAGAAATTTGCCAGCACTATGTGTGAGCCTAGATCAACAAAAGGCCTTTGATAGGGTAGATTATGATTTTTTGTGGAGGGTAATGCAGTATATGGGCTTGGGAGAGAAATTTAAAAAATGGGTAAAAAATTTATACAACGGCATAAGTCTGAAAATAAAAGTAAATGGATTCCTTACAGAAAAAGTGTATCAAACAAAGGGTTTGAGGCAAGGATGTCCATTATCTGTTGTTCTTTATGTACTGTATGTTGAACCTTTGGCTTGCGCAATAAGGGAAAGCCAGAGAGTAAAAGGGATTCCAATGCCGCGGGGGGAAGTTTTAAAGATATCGCAGTATGCGGACGATACAGTATTATATCTGGCAGATGATGATAGTTTAAAGGGTGCGATAGAAATTTTAGATATTTACGAAAAAGCGACTGGATCAAAGATAAATAAAGAGAAGTCGATGTATAAATATTTGGGGACATGGGAGGGTAGAAGAGATAATATCTGTGATTTTACTTTGTGCCAAGGCCCAATGAATATTTTAGGAATCACCTTTGGAAATAAGGAAGGAGATGAGCTTAGCAATTGGAAAAAAAGGTTAAGTGCGGTAGAAAAGAAGCTGGGCCTTTGGAAAGCAAGGAAATTAACAATTAC